AAGATGAAAATACACCCATGACATTAGCAAATACGCTTTAACTATGTTCTATCACAGTTTGCTGAATTTATGTTAGTTACAGTAGATTCAGTAGATTAATATGTCATTACAATCAAGCATCTGTCTTTTTGCAGTTTCTGTCAATTTTTAATCTGAACACTTATGCTTTTGTATCGTTAAATTATTCATTTTAAATTGGTTTGGATGTATCCATAAAAATGTGTGTGCGTGTGTGTGATTTGGATTTCTAACGTAGCTATAACAATATTTGTCAGTCACATCGCTAAGATCTGAGCTATGTTTCAGTTTATAGTGATGTATACTACTGGGACATCATGCAGCAGACATGTAGCCTGATGTCCCACTCAGTCACACATTATCTTGGCACCAGACCGACCAGTCCTAACTCTAACCTCTCAATATTGAAAGCCTAGCGAGGCAGCTGTTAGTACCTTTTTTGTAAGTCTTTGGTATGACTAGCCGGGATTCGAACTCGCGACCTCCATTATCCTATGCGGACGTTCTAACCACTAGGCCACCTCCATTACAAGTAGCCAAGAGTATGCACAGAGAACGAACCAAATCCTTATAATGTAAAGTAAACCTGTAATTTTATAAGGGCAATACTTCATGGATTATATTCAAATCTATCAACATAGCTATGTCTGCATAAAGTTTTGGAGGCATATATGTAATTGTCTCTTCAAGTTCTCTGAAATGGGGAATAGTTAAGTATAAAGTATCTAGATAAATAGCATCTGCAAAGCATGATAAGCCCAGCAGAAGTAATTATTTGATGAGCAATAGTAAACGACCTTGCATATGCAGAAGGGAACTTATTATGTCTCGATATGGGAGGTTGCTTACACAGAACTTAAAAAGCATGATCTTCTAAAATGAAAATTAATATAACCATATTTCCAATATGAACATGAATTGCAGAGTTTTCCGAGATTTCAGAGCAAAGAAAATTACTTATTAGAAAAATGATTGAAATAATAATGTTTGTTGACTCGTAATTAGCTTCACCTGGAAATACATTATTTGACTTGTTTGATGCTATTGATCTATATACACAACCGCACACTGGTGTATTGAAGTATTCAGATCCATCTACTCATCCAGAAAATTAAGTATAATCGGAAAAGACCAGACAACATCAACGTAACGATTTTTACGACCTATCTGATGAACACATACATATTCTTTACACTCTTCTTAATGGTTTCATTGGTTACAAATGGTTAAACTCGATAAATATTACCCATCTGCGACGAGAAACACCTTAAGTGGCCGCACAGTCAGTGGCAAGGTGTTGGCCGCCTTCCAATTCTCCTTATTCATGTGGGTGCCGCTCCGTGGTATTTGACACAAGTCAGTGCTCAGCCCACTGTGTAGCCTGCATCGGGGTAGCATGAATGACATTAAAACGTATTCTGCAGGTGAACTTATTACTTTCCCATTTAGTTCCACACAGCGACAGGCGGATGCTAAACCCACTCAGTTGTTAATTTTGCAGTTTTCACATTAACACATTATCTTCTGGGCATACTGCTGAACCTCTCCACAATACACTGCGCAAAGTTGATGATGGCATCACCCCAACTCACTTACACATTGTCCATACCCAAATGAAACGACAGAGAGCTCATTAATATCCGGCTCGGGTCATCCTGCAACAACTTGGGCCACTATATTGATTCCAAATTATAGATAGGTAACAAAGCATTGGCGATGTTAGTGTCCTCCTTTGTAGTCCGGGAGTCAGCTTACTTGTAACGTCAGACGACAGGAATCACCGTGGGCGCGTATTTGTATGTATATTGCTAGAAACAAGGAACATGCTCTGGTGCAACGTATTTGGGATAGAAACATCAAATTGAAGCAGTACATCAGCTACACGGCCTGATTAATGAGCCACCCCAATTTCTGCCATTCATTGTTATCTTTCACGCATTTCAAGTTATTTCGTAGGCTATAGTATATCGCCGAAAGATTAATATAAATGTGTTTAATGGTCTAACACGATAACATGCTTTATTGTTTCGGAAGCTCCCACTTGGCAGCGTAAGATTTGACTGTTTACCATTCGCTAAGCCTCGAGAACGTCTACTATGTATCTCAGGACACAAACAAACTTCACAATTGCATGGAACACAATGTACACGTGTATGTCTGGGACACGAAGAGTGAACTGCCTTATCAAGGATTGGAATTTACGCTAGATTTTTAGTATCAATGACTGGCTCGCCGGAAATCTCGCGCTGTGCTTGTCTTCTTCACAATAGCTGTCGCGTTCTTTGGCGTACGCAGCCGACAATTGCAGAACCGCAGTGGATTCGCCTGGCTCAAAAAAGCAAGACCTTGAAGATTTATCATGATGCCAGCAACAACAGATGCCGTTTTTATGGTTCATAGTTTTCATTTCTATCTTTTAGCTTGCATTCCGCTGTTCGCCCACAAAAACACCGCTTCTAGTGATATCCTCAGAGATAGGCGCTATCACGAAGAGGGAATGGTAAAGGCCAACCTCTTCATGCTTCATTGGGTGAGGTTATTTGGATGATGGTGTTTCTTTGACAAGCATTTGTTGTTGGGTAGGTATTCTTATCGACTTAATATTGATATGTGTGTCTGCTTTCATGTTTCTGCTTGCTGAAAGACGAACGTTATTATATGCTGCAAGGGTGCCAATGCATTAACTCCATGTTACTTAGCATTAGGTACAGATTTTTTACAACATCATAGTCCTGCCTAGCAATCATTTAAATGTGTTTGTCAAACGTGTGTCACATTGTCTGGTTCGGAAAGAGCACAACTGAATAAGAATTTTTGTTTCAAGAGGTAGACAAAGGTGAAACCAGCCAAAACTGCGCAAAATTTTAGGGAAAAAAAACTAGAAAAGGTGGTTGTTAAAAAAAACGGCAAACTTCACTTGATTCTGACAGAAACCCATCTCGTACTTAATTGTCAAAAACAGCTAGTGACCAGAGATACCATTTATGCGAATGTCTCAATGCCAATGCACAGCTGACCGTATTCTCAGAAGTCAATCAATCTTTCTCTTTTGGGGCAGCAAAATAAAAAATGGTTCAACGGTGAATAAGGCCAAGTATGAGCAAACAGACATAAACGAGAAACATAAATTATCTGTACTTATTGACGATCACGTGGATGAGTATCGTCGCCAGCATGAGATTAACACCCACCGGTTCACACTAAGTTGGAACAAGGATAAATATCAGATTGGCATTAAGCACTTAGGCCACTTAAAAAAAACAACAAAAACCCAAGCAAATCAGCGACCAGATGAGGGCAGTTGAGCTGCCCGAAGAAAATCCAGCAGTACAGGGGAAGAGAGAACCGGCGTGAGGGTGCTATTGCTAATATAATTCGGACGTGTTGTCTGGTGCTGTTTACAACTCTTGGCTATCATGCTGTTGTGCGCACTGTAGACCATGCCATATATAATAATATAAGGGAAACATATTTCGTTGACCACATCGCTGTCTGGCGGGTACACCATGGCGAAAGGATCGAGTTGCTACAATTATTATACTCCCCATAAAGGTGTTATAATGATGTCATACAAATATTCAAGATCCACAAGATTTTTCTTACAAAATCATGGCGACTGAAATATCCCAAGAGGCAGAGACCGAAACGTGTTTAATGCCGTTGACATCGAACTTTCAGCAGTGTTTTGGGGCACTGGTGTGGCGGGAATTAGTATGATATCAACAACAATTGCTGTCCCCATCGCAGTTGCCCTTTAGATCAGCCGATTCATGTGAGGCTTTGCTTCAATGGCTGGAATGTCACTAGCTGAAGGTGACAAAGCACAACGAAACCTGCGTCATCTTCGAGACAAAACTCAACACAATATCCTGCCACAATATCCAGTGCTTCAATGCACCATCCTCGATAAAGTGGACAAATCTACTGTCATGAAAAACGAAATACTGGCTGCATCAGTTCAGTTCTCCTTGATAAAATAAACAAACTGATAGCCAAATGAAAAGTAGAAACCCTCTAAGTGATCATGAAAAGTCTCGCTGAAACTTCTCAATAAGCGTTGCTTTATCACCAAAAAACGCCTGAAGGAAAGGAATAGCGAAAAGACTGGAACAAGTGGACCATCAAAAAGCTGGGATGAAAAATTACATCTACACTATATGAGGCATTATGCATAACTTTACATGGCGCTTGACAGCGCACAAAATGAAAATAAAACAAAATTGCTCTCTACCGAAATGTGCATGGTAAAACATATTGTATCCGCTAATTCCCGACGCATTGAATTTTTTATATAAATTTCTGGAGTACATTATTATACTACGATCAACGCTGAGCTTCCTCGACATGTTTTCCCTACATTTTTGCGCTAGCGCAAGCTCCCCATAAAAATACAATAGCGGCTTCAACCGCTATCCTTCTGTATCGTTTTATTTGTTGTAGTAGCTAATGCAAAGTCCAATTTAGTGTTAGTATCATTTTTATTCGTCACTGCCAAACGTTTGAATCCACAACAATTAACGTTGTATAGTTTTTCAATACAGTTAAAGATACAGACTCGTTAATAGCAATGCAGCCCAGCCAGTACACATTTCGTTTTGCCGATATTAAATATGGTACACCTTTCAGTTATAACATTTTATGGATAGTTAAGACCAAATTATAATGGAACTAAAAATGATACTAAGTAGTAATTACTTTCAAGTAAACGGTATTTGTGTGCGTGTGTGTGTGTGTGTGTGTGTGTGTGTGTGTGAGTTAGATTTTTAACGTAGCTTTAACAATTTTTGTCATATCGCTACGATGTCTGCAGTAGACAGTTTATAGTGATGTCGAGCACTGGGGCATCATGCCGAAGACATGTGGCAAGATGTCCCACCCAGTCACATTATCCTGACACCAGGCCAACCAGTCCTAAACCTAACCTATTAATGCTGAACGCCAAGCGATGCAGCTGATAGTACCATTTTTGTAAGTCTTTGGTATGACTCGGCTAGGGTTCGAATCCAAGACCTCCCGCATCCGAGGCAGACGCTCTAAACCACTAGGCCGCCTGAGCGGTAATGGTGGTTACAACAGGTCTTGTACAATCTGGCTGAAACTGCAGTCATTTATCAGTTGTCAAGTACATGCAAACTTGTCGTGATGAATTTAACTGTTTCTCACTGAAAAAGCTGTTGTTAACTGATTAAATGAGCCAAAATTCCGCAACACATCGCTAAAAAAATTCATTTGCTACTTCTTTATTTTACACTCTCCTATTAAAATGGTAAAAACATCCGCCAAGCGAGGAGCTCAACATTAAGAGGTTAGTGTTAGTACAGGTCGGCTTGTTTTAAGATGGTGTGACTGGGTCGAACATAATGCTACGTGTGTATGGTGTGATGTCTCAGTGCTAGACATCACTATAAACTTCCTCACTACAGACATTGTAGTGACATCACTGAAAAGTTATTCAATCTACATTAAAAATCCAAATCACACGCGGACATACGCAACAGTTGTGTAGTCTCAATTACCTGAAGGTGGTCTTAGTGGCAACGATTTATTGGGGGAGGGGATATAACACTTCCATTTTACGTCTATTAACCCTATTTCAATGTATTTATTACACACTGGCAAAGAAAGCAAAAGCTTAGATTGTCAATTTGAAGAACTTAAGTAGTATAGGGAAATGAGGGTTTTAGCTCACTTTTTTTTACCCTCCAAACAAGTATAAATTAAATGAGGGTTTTAGCTCACTTTTTTTACCCTCCAAACAAGTATAAATTATAATCTTAAATTATCCCCCACCTCATAGGGAAATGAGGGTTTTAGCTCACTTTTTTTACCCTCCAAACAAGTATAAATTATAGTCCTAAATTATCCCCCACCAAACCCCTTGTTTCCAACTACTACTACTGCACAGACAGATATTTTGTAACCAGACAAAACAACAGGTGTTGGAATGCTATGATTTATCCAGATAAACTCTGTCATACAGAAGTGACGAATTTGTTAGAACAGCGCATGCGTGGAATACGATTATTCTAAAGACGGCAAATGGGTATTACCACAAGTTTTTTATCAGATAGGATGAAAATTAAACTGTACATTAGAACGTTTCAGTTAACAAGGCGGAAATTAAACTAGCATTAGAATGAAAATGATATTATTTGATATCTTGTTACAATGATTTAATGTTTCAACTGTTGATATTAAAAATACTTCACTATCACGACTAAAGATACTAAATTTTACTTTACCGCTCACACAGCGACGGGACTCAAACAAATCTTTCATTTCTAATTTGTTCAGAGGATAATTTTTGTCGATAAAATACACCTTTGACCGATCTAGATCAATTGTGAGTTTAGTATATTTTTGTTGGTTAATGGGGCTGTGAAAGTTTTTAAATTCTGCTAGCAACTTTTGATACAATTGTTCGAGATAATTGAAATATACGCTGTTATCAGATCTGATGAGCGAAAGTTTTAACTTGTCACGTGTTCCATTTAAAATATATACCTGATGTCTCATTTATTAAATTCAACTGTCAATTGTTACCGTCCATCATTAGATATTGGATGTTACTATGTAGCTATTTGTCATTATCAAAATTTCAAACATTATTTTATAAGTTTAGATAAAATTTCAGTTGGAAAAGATAATGTCGAGTATAGATCTATCATCATGACAATACCCAAGGGCAAATGTATCTACCTCATTTTCACGAAAACGTTTGTCATCAAAATTACACAATCCACGTTTGATAATGACATCTGTTTCGAGTTTATGACGTTTCGCTCGAATTGCCATAGCTCTCATAAACTAACACCACCATCAAGCGCATACCTGTAGTCATCAAATTGCATAAACTTTTTAACAAAATCACGAGGCAGACCTTTGGCTTTTTTCGTTATTTATTATAGAGTCTAACAATACGGCATACATTTTGCTGCGTAATCCGATAAAATATTTGATAGCGATCGAGTTCATTTCATCTTGAACTTACCAATAACCTTTTTTTTGTGTCGTCATGAAATTTACTGTCACGTGGGTAATCAGAAAGATCAAACAGATGTCGATTATTGTAGATGTCCTGATAGAAGTCCTCGCATTCAATTTCATATACGAGCGAATCGGTATCAGTAAAACAATAACCTACTGGCCGGCCATTGATTTTTAACAAAATTATAATGAAAATCGTACATCAGCCACTTTGATAAATCTAAACACTGCAGCTCCAACATAGATCGGCTTGTTTAGTTTTAGATTTATTTTTCTTCTTTGTATTGCAACAAGATTTTCATTAAATATTTTCATGCTCACAAAATCATCGTCTGACACAAGTTTGTTTTTCTGCGATTGACATCATCAACTATTCCAATATTTACACGTTTCCTAATACTCTCCATCGTCTTACCAAAAACGGAATTGTTCATCAGTTTAAAGAAGTTTTTTCAAACTCTGTTTTCGCTGCAGCCCGTCGTGTAGTGTGTGAGTTAATATAACCTCTCATCCACGGCGACTGATTAAATTTTAGTACACGATGAACTTTTCTCAACACAAGACCAGCATCGACTGCTTGTTTTAAAACTTTGTAATGCAAAACGTAATTTTTCTTATCAAGTAAATTTGGTACTAGTTTCTTGACCATGGAATGTTGCTTTGGTGATGCTACCCGCTTGTTGTTCTTTTGATAACAAACTATAATCTATGACCATCGATTCCGCACAGAAAGGGTAATCGTTATGTAATTTGTGTAGCGAATTTGGATAATCAAGATCAACTTCAACGAAATAGGAAACATCTTCGGGTATCTTTTTTTCTGTCTCCGATAGAAATCGATCAGCCGTGATCCAATGAAATCCACCAAGAGGCATTGGTTCTGCCATCGAATACCCGTACAAGTTATTACAATCTAGATAAACTATATACTTCGAAGGAAGGTCAGGGTTATACTGTTTCAAATATTTGTTGTTTGCTTCAGCATACTTTTTGTTATCACGCTAATACCGCCTCGGATACCTTTTTCAATAAAATTGAACATATCCACGTCTGTCATTAATCCTAACCTTACCTTATTAAACTTTAGCAAAGCATCCCATGACAACTCATGGGCAGAATAATACCAGCAATGATCTAGTCCATAATTATTATAACTCACTTCACGAAAACTTTCAAAAAACATCTGCTAATAATAACACGTCAGTTTTCAAATACAAATCATGATAATCACCAAAAGTCTCACAATCAAACTCTTTCCAGATATCTTGTGCATACCTGTACTCATCATCAGTTATATTTTCATTTTTAAGTTGTGAGTAAAATTTATCTTTGCCAGGTAAAGATGTTTCATCAAATTTACTCCAGTCGTCGAGATATTCGTATGGAAAACTCCTTTGTAGCTAGTAGATTAAATTTATCTCCAAAACAGTCTCTTAGGTTTTCAAAATTACTACAACCGTTTACTAGCTCATCTAAGGAGGCTGCCAAAAAACTGCAGGCTGTCAATAAAACGCAATTTACCTAGCGTAACTGACATGTACTTTTCAAAATTATTGGGATGCATTTGATGATGTTATCGAGTTTTAGACGAGATTTTATATCAGGATCACCAAATCTTCTACTATAATATGGCTATCATATCCTCGAAAATTGTGAAGAATAACCGGAATAAAATCTGGAGCATGAAATTTTAAATTACACTGATTATGAGCCGCTCCACGATACTGTCCAGTCAAATGACAATGGTCATGTACTTTTTTGTTGTCAGTATCAAAAGCTTTTTCACAAATATGACAAATTTTTGCTTGCTCGTGATCGGATTCTTGTTGAGGTGTTAATTTTAACATTGGCGTTACTTTTTTCAAACGATAAGTAATATTATCAACTTCGTTAATCAACTGCTTGAATAAATCCAAAAGGAGTCTGTTGAGCATGACTAAATAAATTTCTAAATTTATTAAAATCCATATCACCGGAACACCATGTTTGCCAGATATTTCTTAATGTATGATTATCAACTCCGTTAAATACACAAAGAAAATTACAATTATCGCGAATAACTTTAGGGATTTGAGTATATCGTTGAGTTAAATAAAACATATCAGCGTGTTTATGACGACCTCGTGAAAATAATAAAGCCGGTCCTTTCTGATTATCTAGCATAACATCATCAAATACTAACATATTATTTAAAGATACATCTAGATCATCGATATCAGGACATTCTGTAACATCATAGATAAATTCTACTGGATCAAAACCTAAATTATCCGCTGCGGTAGAATTAAAATCTTTCAATATATTATAGCAATCCTGGTCATCTGCGCTAGGTGCAATTACATATAATTTATCCCAGTTGGTATATTTCATTATCAGGGTAAGTAAAAGTTGTGTCTTACCTGATCCTGAAGGACCTATAATAATACCTCGGATTGAATTTGGCAACATTTTATGATGTTTAATTGGTGGTTTTCATTTTTTAGCTGAAAAGTCAAGAACTTCCATTTGATTATATCATAATAATATTATGGATTTATATTGTGTAAAATGTAAGGCTCGCACAGGTACAAGTGACCTGACAATGATTATAACTAAAACTAATAGGCAAGCTGAATTTGGTAAATGTGAAATTTGCAATACAAAAAAAATTAGATTCATAAAAAAAACTACCGGAGGTGATATCGCCAGAAAACTCTCAAGACTCCCAGGTACCCCTTGGGCTAAATATCCCGGAGAAAAACATCTCCCAGGATATAGCTACTGTGGACCAGGTACCCGGCTAGATATACGATTAAATGAAAATGATCAACCTAATCCAGGAGAATTTCCAGTTAATGCTATCGATGAAGCTTGCAGAATACATGATATAGCTTATCGAAGTGATGATTTACAACAAAGACATCTCGCTGATGTTAATTTAATTCATGCGTTAAATTCAATAAAGATAAAAAGTTTAAAGAAAAAATCGCTACATGGATTATTAAGTTCGCGATGAAAGGTAAATTGTTATTTGGTGCTAGTGTTTAAAATCTGTAAGATTTTACAATAATGCTGAAAAAAGAAT